GACCTTGCGTCACAAGAGCATTCTGTCGCATGGCATTCACTGAGGGTTGATCGCCGCGTCGGCCAGAGAATCAACGCGCCTCCGCACCTCGCTCGGCTCAAGCGTGGAGACACAAACCGTCTCGCAGAGGTCACCCCCGCCCCCCCGCCCTCTGCCCCAAAGCCAACGTTACGAGTAAGCGCCATGGCCGCACGAAAGGAGTCGATTGTCACCTCCACGAAGAGGAAGCGCTTTAGCGCCGCCGGCATCACGCCGAAGGCGCTCAGGACCGCCGACAGGTTCGCAAGCGCCGATGGCTCGGAGCTCGTCGCCACCGTGCGACGCTGGGGCACCACCTTCGGCGTCTTCGAGGATGGCTCAAAGACGGAACCACTCTGGCAAATTCAAGTCGTTCAAGGAGGGCGGCAAAGTTTCGGCTACAACCTTCTCGCCACGTGCAGAGAAGCTCTACAAGACTACCCCGACGACAGCATCCGAGACCTGGCACAACTAGAAGCCCAGATGCATATCAAAGTCCTCGTAGGAGCCCCCGCCACGACAGGGGCTTCAGATCCCGACGACGTCGGCATACAGGATTGGCAGCCCGTGCTGTACGCCCCCACGCCACAGGCCGGCCTGGACCTCGTCGCCTTCATCGTCCGCCACAAGGTGAAATCCGGACAGCTGCTCCAGCTACCGCACTTCATCGCCCTATTCCCACGCGAGGACATAGCGACCGTACCGAGTCCCTGGACAGTACACGAAGAACACCCCTTGCAGCAGGGCCCTTACCAGGCACTCCCCGCCCGCGGCCGGCGTCATGTCCTGCTGCAAGTGGAACTGCAGCCTCCGGCCGACGAAGAAGCCAGCCAGCAAACACCCGTCGGCCCACACCCCAAGCAGGAGTACAGTCTCATGATCTTCGGCAACATCTACAGCTTCCGCGAGCTCTTCGACGCCGCCAACATACAAGGCGGCACCGTCAAGGCCCCGGACAGTGAGAAAAGCGAGTACGTCCGGCACCTGAAGCTGAAATGTTCCGAAGACCACACACAGCGGCTCAAGAACATCTTGGAACAGGTTCTGCTGAAGACCCCAGTCTACCTGATCGACAGCACGGAGACACCGGCAGATCCCCTGATCAGCTGGCTCCAAGAGCAGCCGTCCGTGTACCTAGGCGAACAGCCCAAGTAGAAAGGGGCTAGCTCCCCGCCAGAGATGTGTCTCGCGGGGAGCCGCCGAAGGCCTACCCAGGCGAGCAGCATGACGAGTACAGAAGCCGCCCGGCAGCAGGCTCAGGCAAAAGGACAGAGGCAAAGAAAGACGGCTTTCCCCTGCTGCAGACGCAGCTCCTAAAACAGCTTCGCAAAGCAAGAGCAAAAAGGTGCGACCCGAATCATGCCTTGCCCGGACCACCATCCATGCTATCGCGCATATGTCTTAGTGCCAAGAACACCGCCGAGAGCATGCCACAAGGGAATTCGCGACGCAGCCACGGCCCTTTGTTGGATCAGGCTCGGCTTCGCTCCGCCGCATAGAGTAGAGCAGAGCCACAAGCGCGGACATGAAGACAGCGCGGAAAGCACCGGAGATGGTGAATCGTCAAGAAGCCCAACCACAGGGACGTGTGCCGCGGGCATTCCGCGACAGCCGCCTGCGCGATGAGGCTCTTCGCATCGCACTGTACTGGCACATCCAGCCAGATCTACAGCAACGAGTGGCAGCGGAGCTCTGGCACCAGACTGCTCACGTGTGGTGGCGGGGCTGGACAAGCAGCGGGTGCCCCGCGCGCTACATGCAAGAATCCAAGATGCGCCTCATCGAAAGCGCGGCCCATCACGCACGACATCCCGCCCGCATGATCTCGCTAAACAAGAACTTCGCGACTCCCTCGATCCGACTGGGACTCCAACAGGCCCGCATCCTCCTGCTGGAAGTCTCCGCGAGCGACATGCGCAGTATAATCCACAGCATCGCGAAGGTGCGCTAGAAGCTGTCCGGGACGCGACGGTAGCAAGAGAAGAGACGACATGACATCGCACATAACATGCAGACACCAGGACGCCACGTCTGGGCGCGGGGATCCCCACCAAAGCAAGAATCGGCAGAGGGAAAAAAAGGAGCGGTCCAGAGCGCACGCAGCAGCACTGCCTGCAGCAGCAAGCAAACACACCCGACATCCAAGACGAAACCCCGCGACCCACACCCGCAGCCGTAGTTCAAGAGCTCAAGCTGCAGTCCCGGAAAGATATCACC